GTTCTTGCACAGACCTTCACCAAAGAGAGAGAGAGAGAGAGAGACCATTTTGCATGAAAATAACTCCGATAACAATCAACAATGTTCAGAAATAAACAACAAAACAGATCGAAAACAACAACAACAATAGTAATAGTAATAATAATAAAGAAGAAAGCACTAAACTAAGCTTCATAAGAAGCTGCACCAGGTTCAAAGGGAAATATAGACCCCGCAGAACTCATTCCACCCAGCGTTCTTGATACCCAGATATCAACGCCATACAGAAGCTCAGAGCAAATGTAGGGAGATGCACATGATTATAGAACCAGCATACTCGTTGAAAATATAACGTACCAAATTATCACAACCACCATATCAATGTGCAGCAACTGGCTCGATACAAATCATGCTCATTGGTCTACCTGACATAATAGCATCAAGCCCCAGAACTATATTCCCAATTATCAAAAGCAAACACGCGGCACAAATCTACACTACACGTCACGTTTGGAACATTGACATCAAGTTACCTCGTTCAAAAGAAAAGCACCACAAAGTACTACTAAACTCTGCATTTATCTTAAATCTACTAATCTCTAACAGGCTCATCTCTTACTTGATAAGCAGGACCACCGCCTCCCTGATAATTACTCGAGTTGCCTCCTGGGTAAGGGGTAGATTGGTAATTAGGCATATTACCTCCTTGGTGACCTTGGTAGCCAGAGTCTCCTCCTTGATAAGGTGGGCTGCCACCCTGATAAGCAGGGCGTCCACCCTGATAACCGGAGTTCCCTCCCTGATAACCAGGCGCGCCTCCCTGATAACCGGGACTTCCTCCCTGATATCCTTGTTGATTTTGATAAGCAGGGGGGGCTTGACCTTGATAAACCGGGGCGCCTCCCTGATAACCAGGGTTTGGCATCTGGTTCTGGTAACCTCCACTAGGTGGAGGCGGCTGTGATGGTGGAGCATTGCTATTAGGCATCTGGTTCTGGTAACCTCCATTGGGTGGAGGCGGCTGTGATGGTGGAACATTGCTATTAGGCATTTGGTTCTGGTATCCCATGTTGGGTGGTGGCTGTGATGGTGCGTTATTATTAGGCATTTGATTGAACGCTGCAGCATTTTGTTGTGCTGGTGGTGGTGGTGGGTTTGAACGGCCTTGGAAATCTTGGTTCTGCATCGGTCGATTTTGCATGTTCTCTCTCCTCCTCTCAAAATTCCTAGAGCGGTCAAAATTCCGGGGCCTGTCATTGCGACGAGATCTCTCGTTGGCTCGTGCGTTGTTCCTCACCCACTCCTCGTGGTACTTGGGGTCGTATGGAACAGCTTCTCCATTGATGAATGGTTCTCCTGCCAATTGAGAAGAAGTTGTAGCAATAGATGTAGATGATCCCTAGCTAAAAGCTACTAATTGATAGAACCATCAATGAAAAGAGGACAGTAACACAAAAAACAGTTGCGTAAAACACATGGCCCTTCCAGTTAAAATTAATGTGTGCACAATTTTTTTCTTTGTACTTGTATTACTAATCAGATTACTGTGATGAGCTATATAAAAGAAGTTCATCCCTTGAAAACAGACATTTAAGCATGGAAAAACAAACCACCCACGTGCGAGTGTAACTGACATGTGCAACTGAGACCATTACAATGCATCTTTTATGAGAAATGACAAGATTAATGAAGCAAGAGTACTGGAAGTAGCCCTATGAAAAATTGATTGGTTGAGTAGTAAGGGTGCAATCGGTTCGGATACGGCTCGGATATGATACTTACCATATCCATGTCCGCCAACTAATCATGGATAGGGACATGGATATGCCTTGATAAGGGGAACTCTTTAAGTCATATCCACTAAAAACTAATACAGATATAAATGAGGAACATACATGAGAAAACCATATAATAATGAAAATTTTTAATTCATACAATATAAGAGAGTCCATTAATATGTTCATTATATTTGAAAAGCTAAGATTACAAAGCCATTAGCACTGTGTTTGGACGTAGGAGAGGATAGGGGAAAAGAATATAGCACGTCACTTTGTTTGGGAGTTTTTCTGAGAGGGGTCAAAGAGGGTAGGGAAGGGTAAAGTTGCATAATAATTTTATCAGTGTAGAGGGAAGGGGAGGGGAAGCAATTGTAAAATATGTTTAGCATTCTATCGTTACGGATCAACGGCTGAGATTTGATTATGGATTAACGGTTGACATTTGATTATGAGGCCCTCCTTTTCCCTTCCCTACCCTTTACTAGAGCTTCCTAACATGATGAAACAAGTTTCCCTCTATTCCCCTCAATGAACTCCCAAACAAGATATTATATTTTCCCTCTCCCTCTCTACCTTCCCTTCCCCTATTTTATCTTACCTTCCCTTTCCCTAAAATTCCCAAACACAATGTAATCTAAAATCAAAACAATTGCACAACATATATTCGGATATTTCGGATAGGGCTATTTCACTATATATCCATATTTATATCCATATCCTATTGGATACAGATACTTAGTAACCATATCTTGAACGACTAGATATATTATCCTCATCAGGGATTTTTTTGCACCTCTTTTGACTAGTGGTTTCACGGTGGAGATAGCCTGAAAATACTTGATGGAAGAATAGGATCTCTGCATAACCGACCCCAAATTTTGGGGATAAAAACACGTCACTGATGTTGTTAACAATTTGGGGATAAAAATTTGTCACAGAAGAATTCAATGACTTTTAGCAAGATCAAGTAAATTACAACTTCCCAATCTACCCTTTCTGCCCCCCAAGAAAGGATCTCCTGAAGTTTCAAAAAAGAAGATTTCAAAAGAAAAGATGCAAATCATAAATTATCCTCATCAATAAAAGGGCCATGACAGAATTCATACCATCAAAAACAGAAACCAAGACTAAGTGTAGTCATTTACATCTATTATTATCCACCACCATCAGTCACCTTCAATTGTACCCCATAAAAAGATGTTCCAATAAAAAGAAGCTAACGATATTTTTCCACGAGATCCTCAAGTGGTTCTTGTATCACATGCTTATACCCACTATCAAATTCCAAACAAAGAAAGAAAAGACATATATACACACAATCATGCCAAAACACCCAAATCTTCAATCTCAATAATAGTTAATTTTTTAAATTCACTGTTATACTCTAGAAAAAACAAACTTAAGAATGTATTTGAGCAAAAAATACTATCAATGTTTGAAAATTGAGAAACTTGAGTCTAATTTTATATTCATAAAAAATGAAGAACTTACATAAAGAGGTTTAGGATTTTAGGAGGCCATCACAAGGCTAAAGAAAGCCACATTCATACTCAATCAAATGCAAATAGTAAGGGTGTGGCAACTTCACACTACTCGTACAAGGTCTTGGATTAGGATTGAACCAAGGTGGAGATGGTCCAAAGATAACCTAGTTAAGGGCCTCTTTTTTCCAGTTCAATCTTGGACCAATTGTTGCCAAGCACATTTTTAACCCTTAACCAGGTTAGTGCTATTGACTTGGTTAGTGGATGAGTTGACACAGGCCCTAAGAGCAAAGTAAGTGACCGAAGGCTGAAAACCAATATAGCATTAGCATGATGCTACAAGAACAACAATAGTGAAGCCTTACTGTAATAAGCAACCATTTTGCAACAAAATCACTAACCACTTAAGATATATTCTAGGAACCTACAGTTCTTACCTCCATAATCTTTGTTCTTCACATCCAAGTATGAATCAGGAAGAACCCAGCGAACCTTTGGCAAAGCTGCACAAATGAAAGAAGAAAATGTGATATATTTCCAATTTCAAATAAATCAATCAAGAAAAATGGACTCTAAAACATTGAAACTGAAATCATGCCTTTAATCTTATAAGAGAGCTCCTCAGAAACTAGGGCACCGAAAGCAAAATAATGCTTTGTTGATACTGAATAGATTTTCATTCTTGCTTCTTCCTCGCTGCAACACAAAAAGTAATTAAAGAAAGAATATAAATAGTGTTAAAAAGCATTCTAAATTCACTAAACTCTTTTTTACAATGGCTTTCCCATGAAACGTACTTGGATGGATACAACATAGAGGTGAGCTCATGCGTACAACAAAAAAGCGAGAAATTAGACACAATTAAAACAATCATTATTGTGACAGATATAAGTTGTGTGCACCAGACATGATATGAACTCATGATTAACATGCTACCAAATAATAAGATTCATCCAAACTCCAATCATGAGATCATAAGAACAAGGGATAAAGGGAGATTAGACCCCCCCCCCCCCCCAAATAACTGCCAATAGTAACACTTATCAAAGCAAAAACCTCAACAAAAACTAGAATAGGCTAGCTTTCAAGGTCAGCGACATCAACAACTACCATATATATTTTTCCACCTACATTATACATTTAGCTCTTCCTTTCTTACAATCTGAGTCCATCTCAATTCATGTTTTTCTAGGTTCATCTTCAACCTTTGTTGCAATATGACTGAAATCAAACAATTTGACAGTTTGATTATATAAAGAGCAAGAATTAAAACCTAAATGCTAACCAAATTTTACAAGCACAATTTAATTATGACATACAATTCAATTATGAGAGGTGCCTTCAGACCACCAAAAACATGTTGCTAAGGGGGGTTATTCATTGGTGTAAAAATTGGGATAATGGGATAATTTTTGGAACACCAGTTTTTGGTGTTATTCATTGGTGTAATTGGAACTAGAGTCAACATTGTGGTGTTATTGGTTTGTTGGGTAAAAATTATCCCAATCCCCCACTTCCCCCCAAAATTACACCAGATATATAAACTACAGTCAGACCCATCCTCAAAATTTACCCCCTTTTATTCGCTGGAACAAGAGGGGAACAGAATTACCCCACTTCCGCTCCATCGTCGCCGTGCTCGAGCTCGATCGCCGCTCCGCCGTCGTCGTTCCCGAGCAGGGATTTCCCCCACCGCCATTGTCGTCTCAGTCCACCCCACGAGATCTCTGCCCTAATCCACTCCTCCTGCTTCGTCGTAGTAGTAGATTCCGTCGGAGGAGTCGCTGGCGGAGGAGGGGTTTGGGTCCATGGGGACGACGTTGTTCTCGAGTTCCCAGGTTTGGCACGCGATTGAGGAGTCCATGGTGGGGATTTTGGGAGGGGTGGAGAGGAGGTTTTGCTGGTGGGGATTGAGGAGTCCATGGTGGGTCGACGAAAGTAATAAAAGGAGATTTTGCTGGTAAAGAAGAGCTCGTTCTCAATTTTATACAGAAACCATTTCTGGAGGTTTTCATTTTGCTGGTAAAGAAGGCCGATCCAAGGGTTTCTTGCAGCTGCTAAGACCAATGAAGTTATTTTATTTTCTTTTTTCCCTTTTCAGTAGAAAATTTGATGAATTTGGTGATGAGTTTTGTTACAATAGATAGATATCATGTGAATGAATTTGAGTTTATGGATGAAATGTGAATGAAATTAAGTTTATGGATTCATGTGAATGAAATTATGGATGTGAAATGTGAATTCTTGGTCCATCTCAGAGCAAGAGAATTACCCCCATTGGAACAATTTTACCCAATTTGTCTGACATTATCCCACTCAAATTATCCCATTGGGTAAAATTACCCCATTGGAACAATTTTACCCAATTTGCCCAAAATTACACCAATGAATAACCCCCCTAAGTGCCAACCAAAATTTAGAAGTACATTATGATATGAACTTCAAATAAATTAAGTAAACGCAAAAGGCCAGTAAATTATTACTCATTTATAACAAAAAGAACTGGAAAAGAAACATTAATAAACAAAATAACATAAGGAAAAACGCAATAAATCTTAATCACTCTGCCATTGGTCAAATAACAACAATTTCCTATTTTAAAGTTGATAAATATTAAAAATCTAAAAATAATAGAAGATAATATCCTAATTCCAAATCATAAAACAACAAAGTAAATCATTGTGGAACATAGGCAACTGTCGAGCCAAACCCAAGCTAAGAAGAGACCTAAAAATTATTAGACAAAAAAATAAAAAAATCTAAAAAAAATTAATATAAGATAATATCATAATTCCAAATCATACAACAACAAAACAAATCAATGTGGAACATAGGCAACTGTCGAACCAAGCCCAAGCTAAGAAGCGACCTAAAAATGATTAGAATCACCTTTCATGGTGAATAAGTACCAATTGCCATAAAAAATCAAGAAAGATATACCTACTTCATAGAAATAAATTTCAGATCAGCAATTGCATTTTTAAAACATACCTATGACCACTGATTGAAATCTGATTAGAAGTGACTTCCATTGAGATACTAAACAGAGGTGCTAAACAAACTCTTCAGTAAGCAGAACCAATCACAACCAAGGAAAATTTTAAAAAGAGAAAAATTTAAAAATGAAATAAGCTATACTCTTACTTATAACCAAAAGGTTAATCTACTAATAAGGATTATTTATCTCAACTAGCAACAATTGGATACAGATCCCAGTAACATTTAATCCAATCATTTCAATATGATAACTAACATCAAATACAACTTCAATAGATTAGACTTGCTACAAATCAAGCAATAAACCAAACCAAATGTCAAAACTTTCATGTTGATAAAACTTAATACCCATCAAGCAGAAACAAAACCGTAGCTAAGGATTCAATGCAGCTACAGATGGTCAACCTAAAATCTTATATAGCCCCATACCTAGGGTTTCTTACCAAAATGTCCAACTTTCCCAAAAAAAAAAAGAATTTATCCAAATCAAGCTATAATTGCAAACCCCAGTAGCACCTAATACAAACGTCTCTCAGTACAACGAGGAAAACAACACAGCTATATAAAAATAAAAGGGAGAAAAAACAACCTAAACGCACAAAAGTTCAATTTTGATAAGAACACAACCGTCAAAAAATACCTCAGAAGAATAGACAAGCCACAATCAAGCAGTAAAACAAACCAAAATGGAAATTGCCAACCCAAAACAGATAAAACACATCAAAAAGAAGCAAAACCCTACCAAGGATTCAACAGACATAGCAACAATAACAATCCACAACCAAATAAAAAAACTAAACATATAGATAAATCTTAGAGAAATAAGCAACCCCAATCATATAAACAATAACAATCCACAATAAAAAAGAAGTAAACCCCTAACTAGGTTTCGATGTAGAACTGATGATCACATCACCGGTAGAGTTAGGGTTTCTACGCGATAAACAGCCAACGAACAGAACCAAATCTTACAAATGGAAAAATAAACCGCACCAAAATGGGATTTTTCACGCGAAAAGCCCCACCTAGGGTTTCATTCAATGAAGTTTACCAACAATCTACAACTAGATCCAAAAAAAAAGTTTAAAAAAATGAGAGGGAGGAAGTTAGACCTTCCAACAACTTGAGCTAGGGTTTTGATGTACGAATCAATAATCTCATCCCTCGTCGCACTAGGCTCCGGCGGCTCCAAAACAACAAGCCAGTGCTCGAAATCGCATCCATCGAGGAGAATCGTCTCCCTTCGCGCGGCCGATTGCTCCAGTTCGGCGACGAGTCGTGAGAGAGCGACGTCGTCGGCCGAGACGAGAACGATCGGAGGCTGGCGACGGAGGCGGCGGAGGATCGGAGGAGGATGGAGGAGGCGGCGACGAGGGGGCGCAGGCGGTGAGGACGGGGATTCGGGTGGCGAGGAGAGGGGAGAGCTTTGAGATTAGGGTTCGACCGGCCATCTTGTGATGAGAGGAGGATAAACCCTAGGTTTTGTTGGGTGAGAGTGGGGGTTTATGATAAGAGTGGGGGTTTTTATTTGGGGGAGGAGCGAGTCGGTTAGATATTATGTGCCCTTTTGCATATTTACCCCTCTTGAGATCTTCTTCTTGGTTAAGCGTTACATTTTAGAGTTATTTGAAGTTATGTACCCATATTAAGATTACATTTTTTTAACCTTTTTTCTGTTTACTTTTTTCCTAGTTTTTTTTATAATAATTTTATAGCCAAAATGTTCCCTTTTTACGGTTCTGATACCTCAATGTTTGTTTAGCAACTTTCATATTTGAAAACCTAACTCTGTTTCATTTCAGTTTAGTTATCCGTCAAAAGCCAATCACGTGCTTAGCATGTGACATATTTGTAAGGGCAATATCTTATGATGAATATTGTATCCCTTATGCACCTCTTTCTTCCCTGTGTTTTATTAGGATTTTGGTGAAAGTAACATCAGACTATGTGCCCTTTGGTAACTCCTAGAACTGACTATGAGCGGATAGGAAGATATTTCAGTGAATGGTTGAGTCAATAAGCGTACACATGTCTTGTGTGATCTAAATACAAAAACTTTAAATACAAATCATATCATATCATACTCCCTTTAAACGTACGAGTTTGGGAAAATCTTTCTATGGTCAATATTACCCTTAACTTTTTTGAATATTATATTATTATCCTAATCTATTCTAATTATCATATCTTCTTTGAATTGGTAATTAAATGATTTATCATATTCATAATAAGACTTAACATGTTATTTGATAAAGGAGATATATTTGATATAATTTAAATCCTTTACTTATTTCAGTTCACAGATAAATCTAAAAAACATGTGCTAGACAGCACCTAAAAGTTTTTGAACTTTGTAAAAAAGTATCCTCTAAGTTTTTTAAATTGCAAAAAACACCCCTACAAATTTAAATTTTTATTAAAACATATTGAAAATTATAAATTTTACTTATTTCAATTCAGTAAGAAATCTGAAAAACATATGCTAGCTAGCAACTGAACGTTTTTTGACTTTGGAGAAAATATCTTGTAAGTTTTAAAAATTACAAAAACACCCCTAAAAATTCAAAATTTATAAAAAAACCCCTTATATTTCAAAAATATAAACACATTAAAATCCGACAAATAACACAAAAACCTCTAAAATTTATGGAATTTGTAATAAACACTCTGAACTTTTTATAAATTGTAAAATAAAACCCTCAAATTATAAAATTTATAAAAATCCTGATAATTTTCAACTTAACAGTACATTGAAAATATAGGAATTATAAATATTCCCTACATAATTTGTAATTTAAGAAAACACCCTTAAAGTTTCAAAAATTATAAATAAACCCTCAAAATATAAATTTTATAAAAAAACACCTGAGAATTTCAAACTCGTTAGTAAATTGAAAATATAGGAATTATAAATAGTCTATAAACAATTTACAATATGTACAAAAGACGTATAAGTTTAAAAACTTGCAAAAAGACCCTAAAAATTCATAATTTATAAAAAAACACCATGAAAATTCTAACCTATAGACACTAAAATGAATATACAAAATTACTAACAACCCCTAGAAAATTAAAAATTTGTAAAAAATATCATACTCCCTTTAAAAGTATAGATTTAAAAAAACTTTTCATGGTCAATATTACCCATTGATAATCACATTTTATTACAATTTTATACCCTCATTATCTATTTAATATGAATAAATATACCACTAATAATTGTTTTTATCTTTAATTGTAGGTTAATGAAGAATAAATCTCAAACTCCAATCACTCAACAAAAAGCCATTGATTTAGTGAAGAAATAAAGCAAAGAAGCCCATTGGAAAATCAATTGCCAAATTATCCAAAAGGCCAAAACCAAAAAAAGAAAACATCAGCAGAAGCCCAAATGAAGAAATACCAAAAGCCTAAGCCCAAAAGCCAAAGAGAAGAAAAGTTGCGGGCTGAAAAAGGAAGTAGCCTGACATCGATGCCAGCATCGATGGCAGCATCGATGCCTGTATCGATGCTGGCATCAATACAAACGGAATCTGTTACGCTTCAATGGCTGAAAATCAATTGTTTTGGATAAGATTTTGATCCAATGGCTCACATTCACTGATGTTTACTATAAATAGGGGTAGAGAGTGAGGGGTTAGAGGTGTGAAAATTTTTGTAACTCCTTTTGGAGAGGAAGACTACTCTTAATTGAGAAGGCCTTCCAAATTTGTAACTTTTTGTTACAATTAGGGGCTGTTTGGTTCGTTTCCTAGATATAGGGAAATGCATTTCCATGTACAAAAACACAAGTTTTGAGTTTTCTAAACTTTTTCAAAAAATAGATTGTTTCGTTTTGGTTCGCACAAAAAAATGGTGGAAAACCAATGTATTTATTTTTCTTGTGTTTGGTTCGCATGGAAAAAAAGAAAAACTTTTGTTTATATGGCAAAAAGCTGACGTGGCTGTAGTTTTCGTCGATTTCACGAGGTTGAGGAAGAAATTAGGGGAGAGAAAAAAATCTGATGTGGCGGCGATTATCATCGAGTTTCCCTTCTTCAACTCTAGCGAACCAAAGATGGGAAAAAAATACGACGGAAAGCTTATATCCTACGTGGCCACGAAAAATCTGATATGGATACGGTGTAAAACTTTTACACCGAGTTAAAAAATGAACCAAACAGCCCCTTAATAATAATAATTTTTTCACCACTTTAAATATTTCTTCTCTTTGTTGGATGATGAAGATGGAGATGAAGAATTATTTAGAGGTTTGCATTTCTTTCCTTTTTCTCTTTTATTTTTCTTTTATTGCTTATTAGTTAGATTTATTTTCATGCTTGTAATTAGATTTTATTTTCTTGTTTAAATAGCTAAGAGGCTAGAACCCTCTTGCCTTAGATTTATTTCATGCTCATAGATTAGATTTATTTCATGCTTATAGAGTAGATTTATTTTCTTGTATTTTTGTAATTTATTTTGTAGTTTAGATTTTGCAATTTATTTTATAGTTAGATTTTAATTTCTTGTACTATTCACCTTGAGGCTAGAACCATCTTGGGTTTAGTTTTTCTTTTTGTTTATTTTTACTTTCTTTGATTCGCCTTTAGGTTAGAACTCTCTAGGGAATCACCTTTTTCTAAGAAGATGATTCAATTCTAGATTACCCATATCTTTAATTGAATCCTCTATCTTTACATTCTTGATTTTTATTTGTTTCTCGATTTTATTCATTCTTCCTTCTTGCCTTATTGATCACATTTATTTTTTACTCACTTCCACTCTCAAATATATTCATTTACACAATCACAATCATTCTCTCCACAATCACATTCACTCATCACTCCTATTTGTCACATACACAACATAAGAACCGATTTTATATTCTCTCCTACAAAACACCTTCCTCGTGGGATCGATAACTCTTTATACTATAACTTGATCAATTGTGCACTTGCAATTTTGGTACATAATTATGCCGCATCAAGTTTTTGGCGCCGTTGCCGGGGACGGTGCTTAAGTAGGTTTTAATTATTTTGGTTCTTTAACTTGTGTGTTTTCTTATGAAGAAACCGCTTGCAGCTTGAAAGTCTTGGATTGAAGATCAAGAAGAACTTAGAGAATTGCTTTCAGGTAAGTCTTCTTTCTAGCGTTTTCAATTCCACCCTTTTTAGTTAGTTTCACAATTAGAGACAATTAGGATTAAAAAATTATTTATTTTTGTCGACCATAATAAAATCCATCTTTCACTTGAACATTAACTAACAAGATAATAAACTCAAACAATGTTCCACCTCCTCATAGTTGTTTGATTGTTAACCCTAATAAAAAAATATAAAGATTTTTTTTATCATCCTTTTTAGTCGCTTTTAATTTCTAGGGTTGCATTTCATATAGTGTAGGAATTTACCAAAGTGATTGTAGCACTTGATTTGGCACACACTTAAAACATTCTTAAGGGCAAAACCCCAATCAAGATAAGGTAAGGGATTTCATCACCCTTTCCTTAGCCCACAAATCACTAATTCCTCACTTCACAAATCCAAGCCTTCTAAAACTCATTAGACGTTGGCCCCTAAGGATTCGAGCTCAATAAGTTTTCTTCTCATAAAAAAAACTAATTTTCTAAAATTTATAAAAAGAAGTTGTTTTGGTGTATGCAAACTTGGGTTAGGGATAATTCTTATCGTTTAATTCGTGTTGAACCAATCCAAGAAATGGCAAATCAATCCGTTCTTCAAGATATGTGTTACCCCACCAGAAATGCAATTCCATCTTGCATAAGGCTCCCCGAAACAAATGGAGAAAATTTTGAGCTTAGACCACATTTCATAAACATGCTTCCCAAATTCCTTGGAAATGAAACAGAAGATGCATATATTTTTATTTCAGAATTTGAGGAAGTGTGTATTATGATTAAAATGAGAGAATTAATTGAAGATGCAACTAAGCTTAGATTTATTCCATTTGCTCTTAAGGATAAAGCTAAAAAATGGCTGTACAGCTTACCGACAAATTCCATCTCAACTTGGGATGAATTTGTCACCGTTTTTCTTAAGAAAATTTTCCCTATTCACAAAACGGTAAAGCTAAGTGTTTTCTGCAAAAGTCGTTTCCATTGATAATTCTATTGAACTTCGGTCGTTTACAATGAATTACAATAAAAAATTGAGAAAATTATAACTTTCGAGAAAATAACATAAAAAATCGTTTATCGATTCTTGTTTTGTGGGACTTTGCCTGTGCCGGGAGTGCTTTGACTCGTGGACCACCTAATCACAAATTGTGAGGGGTTTATGGATTCTTCCTTCGTTTATCGAAGTAGGAATTTGAAGTGAATATCTTATCAAAGTAAGACGATCATTCTTCTTAAGATCAAGTCAAAGCTCGAATCTCAAGGAATCACACGAAGAACTCAAATTTTACTATTTTCTCTCTGCTCTCTATGCTCAGATCTGCTCCAATTTGCTCGATCAATGCTCGATCCTCGTTAGTAGTGACCCTAGGGGGGTATTTATAGCCTCTGGGACACG